GTAAATTTATATCCCCTTTGTTTTTTAAAAACATTTAGGAGCTAAAATCACACTGCTACAAATGATGCTTGCTGTAATGTCTTTCGAGAATGGAGTGCATTTTTTAATCTGCACATATTACCCTTCTCACATGTAATTCATACATCATTTTATGGTCTTTTTGTGGCTTTAAAAATATTGATTTTTTTTTTCTCAAGTGAAAACTAATTTCTTTGACAATGGTGTATTTGAACGAAATAATAGAATTAAAATAAAACTAGGAACACAGCAACTATCACTTTATTCATTTTATTTAAGCAAATACAAAACCTGTGTGCACCCAATATAAATAGACTGGGAGACGAAAGAAGGGGAGATAGATCAGCTTGTGCTACAACACAAATCATTAGACCAGCCACTACAGTTACAAACTCTCTGATATCCAGTGGAACATCTCTTTGAAAAAAAAAAGTACAATAAGAAAGATTAAAGAATGCCTTGGACAATGAGTACAGTAACTGTGTTGCATCATTTCAAAATTCTGGATTATTTTTAGAAGAAAAAAAAAAGAGAGAAGACAGCTGTATTTCTTGAATTCTGTCGCAGAAGGGACAGCTGTCTTTAGACAGACAACCCCTTGGTTAAGATTTCACATTGACTCGTATATAAATAAACTGCACATGTATCACTTTTTAAAAAAAAAACACCCTTAGTAAGCCACTGAACTTTAACAATAAATAGTCTTTTTTAAGTTTTTAAAAAATAAAAAACACAACTCATTGAATAAAAAAAAGGTATGGCGTATCTGACCACTCTCCCCTTATAGAAATGAAACATAAGCACACCTAATCTTAGCTGTGGCTAATTCATTTTTATTCTTAACCAAACTGTGATGATTGTTTAAAAATAAATAACAGCACATATTCTTATACATGAAATCATTAGATTAAAACAAGGTGAACTATCCAGTGCATTGTGTTGATGCACTGGATAAGGACAAATAAGGCTTGAGTCTAAGAGTTCAAACTAACAAAGTTTATTTAAAAATAAAAACTAAAAGGAATACTTATGTGTGAAGGTGACAAGAACACAATGTTCAGGATGGTTCCAGATAATTTTAAAATGTTTGTTTTTAAAAGCCACATACATACAAAAAGCAACATGGGATTATATACAAATGTTGGCATTCTGCTACAACAAATAAACTAAACAGCATATCCTACTGGGAAAATATGTCTGTTTTGTTTAATCTTAGCTAATTAGAATGTATCGGAATAGATTGATGACACATTCATTAAAAACACCCTTATTTCAAAACACATTAACAACTATAGCATGCAGGCATATTATAGCTCAGTTCATTTCTTCTGTCAGTTACAAAAGAAAATATTTTTCTAGTAACTAAATAAATTGAATATCACTAAGGACAGTAACAATTACATAATATAGAGAGAGCACTTTTATTATTTAAAAAACTTAAAGTAGGATAGACAAACTAAATACGTAAGCATAGCATTATAAAAACTAAACAATGGGAGGTAATAAAATGTAAATTCTACACATAACATCAAGAGTGAACTATGTACGTTACAGGTAAAACATCTATTACAGAGAATATAAATTTTACATTTGAAATATACATATGCTGTCTTATTAGTGAAACTTGTATGCCACTGGGTGCATCTAGAAACGTTTATTAAAAAATCTTATCATTTTCATCATTTTAATCTATCACTCGTTATGATTCTTCCATTCAAATAATGAAAATAAATGGACATAAATACTTTGTTTCCTATCAGCCTCAAGATTAAATTTTGTCTCAGTAGTCACCACCCTTTATTGTAGTAAACTTAAGAAAAAAAACTAATTCACAATAACTTCACAAAGCCTGTACTGAATAACTAACTGACTGTAATATTTCATGTAACTGAGTGAGGCCTATTACTGTTTAAGAAAAAAGGGAAGTGTTTTTTCTCAAGTTTGGCTTCTCTTCTTGATAGATTAATGTAAGGTTTCCCTGAAACAGTCACCTGTTTCATCATGTCTGATCTTCAAACAAATCTACAGATGGAACTAGTGATGCAAGAATGATGTACATGATTGGTCCTCGAAATATTACATCACAGAAAATAAGCAACCTTATATTAATTATCTTTTAATCTTGTTAACACTGTGTTCCTTTATTGCATTTTTTGTTGTCGAAAGCAAGGAACTAGAAGCGTTTTGAAAGATAATAAGGATATTTAGTTATTATCTTTTGAAAAAGTCTAAAGGAATGTTTAATTTTTCTTTCCTATTTTACTGCAATTTACAATTATTCTTTAAGGTAAATAAAGAAGGAAATGTCTACTTAAAAAGATAAGCATGCAGGCTACTGTCTATCTGGCAAGAAAATCACAAAGTACAAGCACATGATTAAATGAATGAAAAACATTCTAAAAGCAGTGAGACATTTACTAAACCACAACACTGTTTTCATGGAAATGATTTAACAATACACAGCCCCTATAAAACAAGTGTAAAATGGAGACATGACACAGCTATTACTGGTCAAAGTCCCAAGAGTACTGTTCACTGGTTGAAAACTAAGATTCTTTAAAATACATTCATAAAAACCCAACCTCACATATATTTTACTTGAATCTGTATAATTACATTTATCATTTTAAAAAAATAAAATAAAAACCTAGTATTAAAAAAAATCATTTTGCAGTGGTGTTTGCCACTACTTTCACTTGTGCCATATAGGCAAATATTTTACCTTAAATGAAGAATCTGTATTTCAGGTTATAACCTAAACAGTTCATCACAGTTTCAAGGGCTAGCACACTTGGAAAAGTTGCTACACTACTACTCTCCCAGTGCTTAGATTGAAATGTATATAATACAAAATATTTCCTTTTACAGGACCATGTACTCTCAATGTACAACTGATTTGAATGCACTGACTAATTACAGTTACCACAAGGATTCCATTGTATTTATTAACCAAACTAATAAACACAATAAATCCAGAATCGAAAAAGTTTGCCTGATCAATCCAGTTCGCCCAGACATGCTTAAAAGAATATTTGTACAGCATCGCATCATTATCTTCCATACAAGATATAAAAAAATGAAGGATGACAGTGGTGCTAAGCAGAGGCAATAACTATGGAGCTTCATGAGATTCTTCTAAAATACATTAGTTAAGATACACATCTCTTTCTCTCATGAGGATGATAATGATTACATCTAAAAAAAGGTGTAATATTTAAAAAATGTAGAAGGAAAGTAGCGCTTACAAATGTAACCATTATTACTGGAGTTGTAATCAGATTTATTAATGTTATTCTAGAGTAAAGCCTAGTCATGTTTTGAAAACTACTTTTTCTTGAGTGTGAAGAAACCTCGTTTTTTGGGCTCTTCTTTCTCTGAGCGGGTAGCTGGAAGTGTCTGCGACCTGGTGGGTAAACTGGCAGCTGCTCCTCCTTTCCCGCTTGCAGAACTGATGCGGCCAATCCATACATCTCTTTCAGACTGTGAAATTAAAGGGTAATTTGATATAAGATTTTCAAACAAAGTAGTGGACTAAACTCTAATGTCACAGATTTAGAAATTATTAATTTAAAAGTATGAGTTTTACCTCATCTTTAGCTTGGAAAAGATACTCAGCACCATCTGCAAGCTTCAGCCGTAACACATATGGCCTCTTAACATAGTCTGTTGCTACTTGGCATGAAGCACCAACCAGATCTATCACATTCTCATGATGGACTCTATTGTTGGGATCCTGGAAGATTAACATAGACACTTTAGTTCGTTATTTCCACATAAACCTGTGTAAAGAACACTGTTCCAGCTCTATAGCTTTACAATCTTGGCAATATTTCTGATTCATATTAATTGAAATAAAGACAAGTACCAAATTGAAAGTATTTTTATTACAGGTTTAGATTTGACTTCTACCCCATGAATATGTATAGCTATATCTGCTCACATACAGGAGCTATTTTACATAATTGGATAAAATATGTAATTGTTTAGTGAACAGATATTTCAATAAACAGACCGAGAATAAAAAAAAATTGTTTAAATTTTAACAGTGGGCTAAAGTTTTTAAAAGTAAAAAATCAAGCATTCTTTTCTCACTCTGCATATATATTATAGTCTATATATTCCATTAACTAAATGTTCATATTAAGTTTACATGGAAAAGATTTAAAATAAATTTTGTATCAAAGTGCCAATTAATATTAGAACTATAAGGTATATAGTTTTAAAATTGCTAGCTTAATACGTATTGATCTCAAAATAAAAAGAAATCCTGCTGTTAAGCACAATGCCAGGCAGACTTTTTCCTTCCCAACTCTAGTCAGGTAGCTAACCAGAAATGGGTAGACTCATGGACAACAAACAGAATGGGTCTCAAAGACAGAACTTGAGACTTTATGTTTAGTTATCATGTTACAACTACGCCATATCATAAATACAGCACAAGATCTCTGCATTAAAAAATGGGAAATAACTTACTGTTTTTGCATGCTTTTGATCTTTGTAGCAAGACAATGTTGACCCAGAGAGTACAACATACAATTTATCCCATGACCTGCAATAGACATTGATGGATTAACATCCTGAAATTATCCATTTCTAATTTTTTTAACAAGTATGGCAGTTGAAAGTTACACACCTGTTACTGGCTTTCTTTTCTCCTGAATCTAGCTCATGTTTCCTTGTAAGATGACCTTCCTCGTGAATGTATTCTGATGCTGCAGAAGCCTCTGATTAAAAGGAACAAGAGCAAATAGAAATTAATTATAATGTAAAATATTTCTGATTCTATATAAATCAACACAAACCAAAGCTAGATAGGTTAATCTCTTTAAAAAATTTAGTTTATCTTTGAATTCTAAAACCTCATCCTCTATATAACAGTTTATATATTTTAAACTATATACACCTAATATAAAAATGAAATATTAAAAGTAACTTATTCTTAAAAAATATCAATATTTGGTAATAGTATTTATATTTACAATATTATTTACAACTCTAATTTGGAAATACCACAAGCAGTTTATACTAGCATGCAGCTTAAATTCTTAATTAAAATAAAGGTAACCCACTCACAAGACTCTGATAGCAAACAAATTGTAAAACTGGTGGAAAGACTAATTCATTTACTGAAAGATTCTTTCTTAAAAGTAATAGATTTAAATTCTAATTAAAGGAAGAGCAATGGGAGTATGAAGTATTTTAGCTTAATAGCTTAATCTTATTGTAAATAAATAAGTGTGCCAAGTTTCAGTCAATAGATTGAAAAGGCTACATATTAGCTCCATATTTGAAACACTTAAGTGGAGCTTGCAATGTTATAGACAAAAATGACAGCAAATATCATGCAAAAATAAAAGATGTGTAAATAGCTGAATGAAACACACTGCATATATGTAATAAGAATTATGTAGAAGAGCGACGCCACATGAGATCATACATTTTTTGAAAGAAAAATAAAGTATAACCAGGATAAAAATATTGCATAGTTTAAATAGAGAATAGTTTACCCGTAGCTTGATAATAGTTAGAAAAAACCATATTACAAAGCCTGTATCAAATGTCATTTGAAGTAAATCTCATAAATGTAAATAATAAGGTGGCATAGGAAAGTATTCAATACTGAAAAAGAAATCCATGCAGTGGTAATTAATGCTTAATTATCAATTGTTTCCCTCATTGCCAATAGGAGTACATTTTTTTTCAAAAATGTTGGGCAACAGATATTCAAGGAGACCAACCAAAAGTTCTGGATCTTGGTAATTCAGTATCAGGTGAAGTTCTTGGAGATGTGCTGCTTTTCGATTCTCTCTTACTGCCAAACAATTTAGCAAAGGGAGATTTAGAGCGGGGTGTGCGCTTCTTCTCTTTCTCTTCCTCTTCTTTTATTTCTGGGCTAAGTGTTTCTCTTTCCTTGTCCTTCTTTTTGCCTAACAAAACAGGTTGGTCAAATTAAAAAAATGCAACATTTCTTAGACATATCTTCTGCCGACGTCCATCACTCATCCACGTTCATCCGCCAGGTTAGATTTTTAAAGAAGCTGATACTTTTAAAAAATTGTAACAAAAAAAAAAAAAAAACCCGGTGCATAGCTGTTTGCCCCATACAGAAAAATGTGCAAAAATTAATGTAAAAATTAATGTATACAAAAAGAAAAATAACTTTTAAGCCATTAATGTAAATTTTCTTTTCTAAGCTTTCAATGTGGTAACAAAATATTATTACAACAATGAAGTTGAGAAGAAAATATCCATTACCGACTATTGCTAATTTAAAGCCACAAAGAAAAAATATATATAATTAGAACAGCATTAAAGAAAACCTTTAAGGTTAGTAACTGCAGACTACATTAAAAATAAACAAGGCTGTTAAAGAAGTTTTATGTTTAAACAAGTTTTAGCTCATCAGTGTACCAGAGAAAGTTAGATACTAACTTAAAAGGGCTAGTGATTCAGGATTAAAATTTCTATAACAAAAGTAATTTTGTAATTTATATCTATGGAACTTAATGTAGGGACTAAAAGGATAAATAAATTACAAAGCTAATGTAGTATTGAACAAAAAAAATTTACACCTAAAATTGGTTCAATATATGAGGTTCAATGCTATCAGTATCTGTTAATTGAATGTTTATAAATATGTTTCAAATTAAAATTGTTTTTAAAAGCCTGCTGTAACAACTAAGCCTTGTTGAAAGTATTAAGTAGAGAATCAAAACTGTTTTAGGCAACTACATTGTAAAACAGATTATAAAGTTACCACCACTCTATAATTACAATGAACACAAAATCTATAAAACAATATTTTTTAAGGGAAGTGACACATCAAATAGAATTGTGCTATATTATTAAAAAAATGGAATTAAACAAGCCAGACACCCCCCCCCCCCCCAAGAAAATATGATTTTTTACCCACCATTTTAAACAACATACACCATATTTTAAAAAAAATTTAAATAAAAATTATAAGAAACAAGCAAATATTTTAGTATTTGCCTCAACTAAAAATGTATAGAAGTATAAAACGAAATTGTACTATTATGAAATTTAAAAAAAAAACAAAAACAAGATTAGAATAGTAAATGATATGAACATTAAACCACAAGGTTTTTTTTTTACATCCTCTGTAATGCTATTAATTTTTAATAAAAGTAAAAGCATGGTACAATAATTAACAATAATACTTTGTTTTTTAATATATGTATATATATATATAATTTTTAAATACTTTACAAATACTGTTGTAAGTTTATTAAAAGATAAATAAATATTAAAACCAAATGATTACACTGTACAACATATATAAGCAAAATTTTAAATTGAAAAGCTGTTGATACATATGAATTATTTTTGTTAAAAATAGCTACATTTGAAAAAATGTAAAGAATAAAATTAAACTCAAAGAGTACTAACATCAAACTACAGCAAACTACACCAGAGCCCACAAAATGTAATGAAAGCTTTATAAACATTTTAACTAAAAGCAGTAAATAAAATATATAAAAAAAGATGTTAAAATTCAAGAAATACTCAATCACACTTCAAACATTATAGAAATATAAAATACTAATAAAAATATTTTAAACAATATGTGCTAAAAAACTTAAGTAAATAAACAAAAGATTGTGGATGATGGTATATATTTCAAGTGAATTTATTGCCATTCTTTGGGAGTCAAGTGATGAACAATCTTTTTAAATGTCATGATGTAACTCACTAAATATTTTATCAAGCATTGTCTGCAAAATTTCTTGCATTGATGTCATGATAAAATGTATTCCTCAGGATAACAGTTAAGTGAAATGACTTATAAACTGAAAGCCAGAAAGCAATCATGTTACATTTTTTAAAAATTGATGACACTGGTCATAATGTTTACTTGGGTCGTCTAACCAGTACTTTGTTAATTAAAAGTATACTGAAACCTACTTCCTCTAGGAGTCTTCTTAGGTGCTGGGCCCTCTGCATGTGGCCTGCGCTCACTTTCCCTAGGAGACTCAGCATCCATGCGAGCGTGGGTGCGGTGGTGGGCTGAATCATCACCCCCACCACCAACATCCTTTGCCACAAACTGATCTTGCCGAGCCCTGCGCTCTGAAGCATGCACAAAGTTACTTAACAACAAGCATGCACATTATCAAATGAATTTTTCAATGAAGTGAACAAAGTGATGAAAACTTTCTGAATTGCAAATGTTTGGAAAAAAAAATCACTACTGAAAAAAACTTGTGATAGGGTTTTTGGTAGAATGAAACAAAAACAGTTAAATTCAACAAATAATTCAGAAAATTTTTCCAATGCAAAAATGAGCTTCAAGAGGCCATGCTTTTAAAAAAACAAGAAATGTGAAAGCTTTTAAATTTAAAAGTGTAAAAAAAAAAATCAACGTCAAAGTGATTTTAAATTTAATCTTCTTAATGAGTGTTTATTATTTATTTTTATTTATAGTTTCTTGTGAATGGAACTTTGACATAAGTATTTACAAACTTATGATTAAAATTAAATGAATGTAACAAGATTTTATTCCCAAGCAGCTCATTTTCAAATTACGAATAATATGAAACATCAAACAAAGCATGTTAGCTACACCTAGAAGACAAGATCAATTCTCTAAGTTATGCATGAGCAAAAACATGCAGAATGTTGCTTTAATAATTTAATTTTTTAAGAATTTAAATTAAAAATAAAAACTACTGAATTTAAAAAGCAACATCATAAAGCATAATTGTAATTGTGTTAGAAAAACACTTAAACAGATTTCTTACAATCTAAACATGCTATTTCAAGTTTGGTGACGGAAAAAGGTATCAAAATCTAAATACAGAACAAGAACTAAGAATGAGCAGCAGCTACAACAATCAACATGCTGATAGGGCAAGACTTAAAGGTTACCTTGTTCAACCTCTGCTTGCTCTTCTGCACTCATTGGCTGACCAGATGTTTCTTCTGCTGTGTCTGGTGCTGTGTGACTGACTGAAACAGCTTGTACTGGTACCTCTGGTTCAATAACTGGTTCTGGTCTGTTAAAGAAATTGACAAAAAAGTATTTAAGAACTAGTTGATTTTGCATGCTTCAAACTTACAGCACAGACACGTAGTGATGACAATGTGAGTGATAAATCAACTTACTTGGGTGGTGGTGGAGGGGGTAGGAACTCTTGTATATAATGTCGCCTTCTTTCCTCTTTTCTTCGTGCTACTTCATCAGGATGACTTCTGCCATATTCTTCTGCTTCTCTCTTTTCCCTATCTTTTATCTCAAACTGAAATTTTTGAAATTATTGACTGTATATTCAAGAATAACTAACAATATTAATCAAACAAGGTTTGAAAAACTCTCGTTATGTAATTTTGAATAGCAGTATCTGTTACGATCACCAATTCTTTATAATGAACGTTTACTGGATGTAAAAACACCATACTTACTGTGGTTGGTTTCTCTAATGCAGCAAATCTCTCTTCTTGTGTGGCAGCAGATTTTTCAAAAGCTTCATGTTTCTTCAACAAGTTTTCTACAGCGTCCAGAGTGTCCTGTATCAAAAATGTTTACACCTGTATTACTAAGGTTAATTTTTTAATTGCATGAGTGCTATTCTAGTAAGCAGCTTTAAAAATAAACTAGCATTATTTCTTTTGTATGCATGCCTCTCATACATGCCAAATCAAATTTCTTTTGGAACTTAAAGATGCATGGTAAGCTAGATAGGTAATATACTTACACCCAAGTCTTGATTAGATAAGTATGGCTCCTGTGCAATAAGCCAAGCTTCTGCAACTGCTGCATCTCTAGCAAATTGGTAGACTTCCAAAACTGAAAGAAATATTGAATGAAGATTTGAAATATACAAATTTATACTAACAGTATTTTTTTAAAACTGGAAGCACGCAGATCAATTTCAGCAAGTATAAAACTAAAGGCGTCTTATCATGAAGGAATTCATGTTGCTGTATATCAAACTCCAGCCATATAGTACCAACTTTTTATCTTAAAACCAGTTACCCTAAAGTCAAAAGAAAACTTAAATCAACCACGAACCATGCCATTATCATTATGACGTTTGACATATAATTATTACTTAACTTTATCATCCAATTAAAAAAAAAAGACTTTAACTTACTAAGCTGCAAGTGTTCCCATCGTTCTTTCCACAGGTCAGTCATATCTAATCTTTGTAATGTAAGCTGAATCAATTTTTCTCGTACCTGAAAATCATATACATTTTTCATTATTGTAACTAGAAGGTAAGGGCTGTTCCAAAATTATTATTAAAAATATTACCTTTTTATTCTAACCTTATAACATCTTATACATAAAACTAATGCTGCATTTACAAACCTGTTCTTGCTTGTAGTGTTGCCTATTCAACAAGTCTCTACCCAAGTTTATACAAATAGCAAAGTTCTCCTCCCTGGCATCTATCTCTGCCTTAAGACTCTGGTGGTTGTTCATCAAAAGCTCAACACCAGAGACATCACTGTCAATAAATACAATAAGTTACTACACCTCTTTTAGCACTGATATAAAGAAACTGAATACTTTTTATAATTACTTTTAACTTACCGGGGTTTTTCTTGTGTGTTCATCTGTCTACTGATGTCATCAATCCATAACAACAAATCTTTGGCCATGAGCATAAACCTGTAGTAGTCTGAGGCATCAGCTAATGTCAGCCTTCTCCTTTCTACAAGTATGTGTAAGTTCCTCCAGGCATCAAGGACCTCTCTTTCCCTGTCAATGATGGTCTGGGCATTGTCTCCAGCATACCCTGCTTGTAATCTGACAGATTCTGTTTGTATAGCTTCAACCTGAAAATATATAAGTACATTAAGTTTAAAAAATTATCTGATGAAAATTAATTAAAAAAATAAAAGAAAATTTAGAATGCTAGGATACATAAAAAAGTTGATGAAATGGTCATTGTAGTACATACCTGTGTTCCTAAGGTGACTAAATCATGCTCAAAGTTGGCATGCTTTCTCTGTAGGGCTGCTACACTCTGAGCATCACGACCCAACTCTTCAGGGATGTAGTTTTGCTTTTCCTGTAAAATTAACAGTGTAACGAGAAATAAGTTTGGTTTTATGTCAATTTATATAAATTTAATATAACTAATGTAATTAAATATGATCATCTAGATAAGATAATTTGATAATCAGGATAAATTAAAAAACAATGAAATCATAATTACAGCAATCCTCTCGAGTGTATCTTTGCAGTCATAGAAAAATTTATGAAGCTCCCAAGATGTTTGTAGAAGCTCAGTTCGAGTGTCAATTAACTCCAGCAGATCAGCCCATGCATCATTAACATTGTCCTTCCATTCAGCTATTGTAGCTGCATCAGAATGTTCAGATGCTATTAATGCATCACAGATTTCATTGGCTGATGCCACACGCTCTTGGCCTATATTTTCTGTATCACGTGCAAATTCCTTGAAACGTTCTTTGAGCATCTAAAGATACAACACAAAAAATCTTAGTTGCTGGAAAATATTAATATATTCAAATACCCCCTTACCCTCAATGTATTATAAATTTAAGCCAGTGGCTTTTACTCTATAATTATTTATTGCAGACGTGGCTTTATCGGTTGTTTTTTAAAATCTCAAGTCAATGCCAAATAGAAAACCTACTATGTTTGAAAAAAAAAAACAGCACAAGTTGTGATTGTTATGTAAGCTGACTTGATAAAAGATGAGTATTGATGGCTAAAAGAAAATTGCTCTTACTGAAACATGCTCATAGTCCTGTCCTGGCTCATTTGAACCTGCCACAACAGATTTATCTGCAATCCATTCAAGCAGATCATCAATTTCTCTGTGTAGTGTGTACAGTTTGAAGACTTCTTCCAATTTTCCTCTTCTTTCACCAGCCAAGTCTTTCAAACCAGCATACAGCTTGTCTACCTGTGACTGCCTAACTGCTATCTGATCACTGTCAACATGCATAAAAATATTGTTTAAAAACCATTTCTGCCCAATAATGAACAAATCTATACATTTTTTTACAAGTAAAATATATGGAGATGAAAAGTGTTTTAACCTTTCAGGATGCTCCTCCTCCATCAATTCTCTGCTTCTCTCTCCAAGCTGCCTGACCACTTCAGCATAATCCTCTACATTGTTTTCCAGAGTCTGGTGTTTCTTCATCATATTCTGAGCTCCAATTTCATCTTTGGCTCTTTCTTCGCCCATCATGTACAGTTCTTGTTCACTCATCCAAGCCTCGGCTTCAGACGCATCAAAGTAGTACTGAGGATAAACAATTTTAATTCAATTTTTCTTCCTTAATGACAGCAACTGATAATTATTTCCAAAAGTCAACAACTTGGTTAAAGTCACATAACATGGGGTACCTGTTGGGCTATTTCAGACAACTTCAGTCTCTGGTTTCTTGCATCTACAGCATCCTTGAGTTCCTGCCAACGTTTGAGAAGGTCTTCAATCAATGCTCTGAACTCCTCAGATTGTGAATGCCCTGATTCAATGAGTTCTTGACCAACTTGTACCACAGACATAATGCGTGGTTCATGATTGTCTATTTCAACTTGCAGTGACTGGAACAAAATAAATAAAAATCACAAATAGGAGAAGAAAAAGCTAACAAAACAATAAAGCATTAACTTAATAGACAAATTTTGTATTTACATGGTTCTTTTTAATTAGGAGCTGGACAGAAAGTAAACTGTTTCCATAATCTTGGTTAGCAGCTCTTGGCATCATCTCTTGAATCCACAGTTTCTCATCTTCCACATCTCTCATAAACTGGTGAATACGTTTAACTTTCTCCAGGTTAGAGCGACGCATCATTAGAGGACCTTGGATCTTGGAGAACCTAAAAGTATTCAGTCATAATTATACAACAACTGATTATTATTACTAATTATTATAGGCAGCAAAACAAAGCTTAAACTTCCATTAGCAAACACTTCTTTACACACTAAATACATTAGAAGTTAAACAGCAAGTAAATTAACCTTTCAGCCACAAGAGCTCTTCTAGCTTCTATTTCTTCTTCTTTGTCTGGTTCAAGCCTTCTCAAATGTTCACCCTGAGATTCCAGTTCTTGAATTTGCAGCTCTTTCATTTTCATTTGATTTTCCAATTGCTGTATTTAAAAATGGCAAAATTTATAATGTAGAATTACATCAACATATTTCAAGAATATAAATTATGATATTGAGAATAAACTTTTAAAAATAATTTTACAAAGTTTTAAAAAAAATCAGTGTGGCGATTAAAATCTTCTTTACTTACATGTTGTTTTTGGACTAGAAGGTTGACAGTGGTTAAATCTTTGCCGAAGTCCTCAGATGTGACAATCTGTGACTCAAGAGCAGTGACCCATCCATCCACATCATCGCAGCTTTGTTGGTATAGAGTGGAGCGATTGGCATCAAACAGACGTTCACCTTTCTGTTTTGTGGTTACTTCTAAATCTTCCCACTGATGTGAAAGATCTTCAATCATAATCTGAATCTGGGCACGGGTCTCTGGCTTAGATTGCATGATTGATTCTCCTTCCTGTACAATATATAGGAGATTATATTGTTAAACAGATTTTGATCAACTGATGTAAGCATGTTAATTGAAACAGGTGAGAGGTAGATCTACCATTATATTTAAAATTAAAATTAAGAAAAAAAAACAAATTAAAAAAAACAAAACAATGCAAACTTACCTCAATAACTCTGTTCAATCTGTCTTTGTTGGCAGCTATTTCTGATTCAAACGCTTGATGTCTCACGTACTTGCTATGAAGATTCTTAGCATCTCTGTAGGTTTCATCTTGAGCTGCAGCCATTTTATCTTGCAACCAATCTCTAAGCTGTAAAAAGCAATTTTACTAAATTTAAAATAGTAGAAAAAAATTATGATGCGAGGAGATAAATAACTTTGGCATGAGTTGCTTAAAAAAGAAGTTGCAAAAGAAATATTCCAAACAAACCTCATCACATTCTTGTAGGAACTGCTGGAGATTGAGTTGATCTTTGAGCCTCTCCAACTGTTCATCAGCTCTTTGACGGTTTTGGTCCCTCCTGTTAGCAGATAAAATTGAAAACAATCTCAATGCAGACAATCATGTGTGATGATCACATTAAGATTTTAGTAATATCTACAGTGTAAAATCAAAGTGTAATAGAAAATAAGGTTAATTAGAAAAAATAAGAGAGCCAACCTTTCATTAATGGCTTCAGCCTTTTTATGAATTTTTTCACGATCATAATGGTTCTCATCAATAAGTCTGTTGGCAAACTGTAATACAGCATTGATCTTCTCATCATTAGCATCCATTGTTGTAATGAAGGCTTCATGTCTTTTGATCAGGTTCTCAGCAGCTTGCACTGAGGTCTAAAAGCAAAAAGAATAAACTTTTGATTGTGTGTTCAAAACCTAATAAATTCTGCTATTTTGTGGGGAAAAAATCTTAATAAATGGTGACATATTAAATACCATAAAATTAAATTACTTAATTTCTTTACGCTAATATGGTACATTAAACTGTATTTTAAATGTATCCTTTTATTTTCTTGTTTGGCAATACATCAGATGATTTTTAAATGTTGCTCACAAGATAACATTAATGCCAATTATAGTTTGGATACTTTCTTAAACTTCCTAAAAAAAACAAATCCTGCAGACGTGTAACTATATAAAAATGCAAACTATATATATATGACCTAATAAAAAACACTTTTAAAAAATTAAGTAACATTGTTTAAAAAAATGGGGTAAAAAAAACAATAGTTATTGGGTAATATTGCTAAAAATTCTCAAAAAAAAAAGGTATAAAAACAATGACCAGTAAACAAATAAAAATAAAGTAAGCATGCAAACTTTGTGCAATAAGATGTTATTAAATAATTAATTGCTGTTTTGTAATGGATTTTATACAGCTACAGTTACATCTTAAACATTAATAAAATATATTTAGAAATTTAGGTTGATAATAAATAATAAAGCACATTCATAAACATATATATATGTTAATAATATGTACTAATAGTGATAAATACAAAATCACTTTGCAGTTATAAGATATATATTATGCTTAATATTGTTTTCAAAGTATGATACATATTTACAGAAAAGAAAAAAATAATTACAGAATGAGGCAAAGAAGAACAAGTAAGGATGTTATTTATAGTTTTTATACTTATAAAAACACAAAGTTGAAGAAAGTTAGGTCCAGGGTAAAAACTACTACTACTAACCCCAAACCGTGCAAGTTTGTAATATAAAAATTATCAAGATTTGGCTCAGATCTGTAAGACACCTCGAGGTCTTCTCAAGTTATGATGCCATAACTCTGATAAATTTTAGGTCACCAAAAGGTTATTTTTTTTTATATGAATTTTCTAGGTGACTGCTCAAGTATTGTTGAAAAGTGGCTGCTTACTATGACAATGACATACAGCTTCTACTAATTGAACATATTTCCTTAAAGTTATAACATGGTATATTTATTATGCTCTAAATATTCTTTTATTTGGTAACTGACCAAGAAAAGAATATAAATTGACTTTCTAAAGAGATCATATGAGAAACCATGTCTAATCTTCATAGCAAATTTTATTTTGTGCCTATGATCATTTTGTACTGAATATTTAAAAAAATATATTTTCAAACAATAAAAGCACAGAAAACAAATTTAAAAAATGCTTGACTATTTAAATTGGCTACCATACTGTACTATATTAAAATACAAAAAAAAAATCTGCCTAAGGTAAACAAAAGAAAAAAATTAAAATAAAGTTGTCGATCTATAGGTTATGATAAAAAATTAATACAACTTCAGTTGTCTTTAGCTTTTAGTATAAATCATAATGAAACAACATTCATGCATGTGCAAATACTATTTTTGTTGTGTAATACAAAAATACATGCAAAAGTCCAGTGTCATTTAATGAAAATAATTACATGCTAACCTGTATACTTAGTTAAGCAAACATTACTTGCACTTAATGTGAGAATAGATAATTTTAACTAACAGGCACTGCTTAACAAGCTACCAATAAATAATTACTTTTTTGGTTTATTTTCAGTTATCATGGAAATGAAAAAAAAGTTATCAAACAAAATAGGAGCAGCTACTGTAATCAATACATTATCCATCATATTTAGTGCAGGACTGGTACAGATGTCAACACAGCAAGCAATAGTTACTGAGTAAGACAGTCTTAGCAGTAACAGCAATTTTAAGGTTACCTGTTTATCTAGAGGAGCAATCTGTCAAAAGGAGACCACAAGACAAAGTAGTTTTCCTCAACAATAAGCCAGATATACAACACACAGATACTAATGTTAAAAATGTTAGTTTATGTTATCTAATTGGCTATTAACAATTTATTGTGAACATGTAGGCCTACCAAACAGAATATTTTATTTTTTTAGGGATTAATGTTCATATATTTACTTTGGCCAAAAACAGTAGATAAAATTAAGTATTATTCATTTGATGAATTTGATTTCAAAGTTTAGATAAAACTTATAACAAAAAAACTTCTTGAAACTAATTACAACTTCTTGATAGTTTCACAATATTTTACAAAGTATACATGCATTCACAACTGGATTTTGAGAATGGGTATAAGTAACGATGATCAAGTTGTCATGCTTAACAAAAAAATGGACCTTATACATCTCTAGAGTTATTTCTAGCTCATAGTTAGAAGTATTGCACTTTTTTAAACAAGTGTTGATACACACACACACACCAGATAGGATTCAGTTTAGAAATATGTTTAAAAAAATATTTCACAATTTGTTAGAAGTCTTAACCTTATTAAAGACCTAAAAGATTGTTTAATTATGATAATTTGTAACTAATGTAGCAGTGAAAAAGCATACATTTGTGCAACTGAGTACTTCCCTTTCTAGTCTCAAATATTATGTCAGCATAAGATTGTATATTTTAGCAATCACTACTAAAATATAAGCTGCCTAAAAATTTCTAAATACAAGAGTAATAAGATTTTGAAACTCTTTACTTTTGTCCACACAGTGTCAGAAGAATGAACTGACAGTGGACTAAGAGCTTGTATATGACCAAGCAACATTCGATTTATTCCCTGGAAATAAAGCAAAGATTAAAAAAAAAAAATGATCAGCTAATTTTATTCCATTAAATTGGAGGCCAAAAACCTTCAGGAAATTTGTTAAGCAAAATATTGGCAAACAGGAGCTTACAAGATACCTATATTTCCAGGTAAACTGCTTTAAAACAATATCTCTCAAATGAAAAGATATGTTTATAAATAAAGCAATGAACTATTTTCCTTTCAAACTCTTTATTTTAAAATTAAAAACCAAAACTGATAAAACTTCTCTCATATTTGTTGTAAATAAAATAAAAGATAAAAAAATCTGCCTTCTTTTAAATTTAAAACAAGTCACTTTCAAAATGCAAAGGACCTATGTTAAGGAAATGGATGCTATGTATATACTAGTAGGAGATGTGGTTAAACAGACTTTTCATACCCAGGTATTCACAAGAACATTGGGATTGTACAATAGAGATACTTCTAGGTCAATTCAAATCATGGACTCATGAAAAAGGACTTATCAGTATGCTCACTTCTATACAAAACAATTGTTTCAAGGTGCAACCACAAAAAAAAAATTAATATAAAAGTGATAAATCAATCACCTGAAGATTTCAAGAAAGCTTTATGAAAAAATTATTTTAAAAAAAAGGACATAAAAACATGTTAATTTAATACTTACAGGCACATCCTCTTTAGACAAAAAGTTATCCTGTTGGTTGAGTAACACTTCAGCTTGTTTGGCATCACGCAAGAACATCTGCAAAAATATGAGATTGGCAAGAGTTCACAGAAAACTTTAAAATATCAACACTAAATTTTTATTTATTCTCAATATATCAAATAAATATGCTGTTTTAAAAAATTACAACTATTGCCTTTTTAGCTTTTATCTACTGTATTGTAAGTATCATACATTTTATATTTTTAGCAAAGTAATATTACAGTTCATTCTCACCTGTAGATTCAATGATTGTGAAAGCAGCTGTTGTCTGTTCTCCCACATCTGCAAAAGCTCATGCCAACCATCGTCCAAAGCTTGAAGTCTCTGGTAAAAGTTACCACAAAAAATACATTATAATTATTCGAAGCTTTTAACTAATTTAAATTTATTTTTTTAAGGCTAGGAATTGTGGTCTTCACCAAATTTAAACAATTTATAAACGTACCTGTCTAAGAAACATGTACTGTGGATCTTCTTCTCCTTCTGTAACTTTGTCTCCAAAGTCCTTGATCTTGGCATATTCAGGAGCATAAGTGTCAATCTCATCACGCAGTTGTTGATGTTGATTTAGCAGTTTCTCAGCATCTGCCAGAGAATTGGGAATGTCCTCAGAAGCGACAGTCATCTGTGTGCGAGACAGCCAAGACTGGAAATGATCCAGACTGCCCAAGAAGCGCTGTAACTCTCCAGCTTCTCCAAGTTTCTCATCACGTTCTTTAAGCTAAGAGAAATAGTTTAAATCATTAATTTTACTAAACATCATTATATATTTTTAACATTTTACTGATACATTCACAAACACCAAATTAGCTCCAGGCAATTAAATCATGTAAAACTTTAATTGATGCCCTTAACAACAGACATCCGTTACATATTGCTTTCACATACAATGCTGCTTAAGAATAAACAAAGTAGTTTACCATGTCCTTAAGGTCATTCCAGACATGAGTAATCTCTGTAATCTTTTCTTTAATAGCCTGAGCCTCCTCTGGTTTTTGTTCCTCAAGCTTTTCTGCCTCATTTTGAAGTGACTCAAGCTGTAATTAAAAAAGATTGTTTAGTATTTTGAGCTTTTGAGTACTAAGCTTTAGAATATTGTATATAAAGCTTTCACTATAAAAAAAACATGTAAACTGAATTTGAAATAATAACACTAGGACTAAGGAAACAAATTACCTTGGCTTGAATGGCAGCTAGATCCCTTTCCATGGTGCTCAGTCTACGCTGCAGAGTCATCACACCACTAAGGTCATTGCCCAATTCATCTGTAGATTCTATCAACTTAGCCTTTTCATGGATCCAGCTCTGTTTATTTATTAGACAAAAGGTTTTTAAAAAAAATTATTTTGATCTCAGAAATTATTTTTTTTTTAAAAATATACATGATTTAAAAAAGGTACTTTACTCAAAAACTTACAATTGTTTCATTGCACTCAATGTTAAAGTTCTGGAAATCATGGGCAACATGGATGTCATCTCTTTTCTGGTCAACCATTTCACGAAGGTTATTCCAACTGAAATACAATTGTAAAATATATTTCTACTTTCTGACATTTTTGAAGTAAAGCATTGCATTTTAAAGCTGTTTTAATTCCAAGGATATTAACACACAAAGAAAATAAACTTACGTTGCATTTAGTTGATTCTGGCGTTGTACAACTTCCTCTGCATTTGGATGTTCAGCCTGCATGAGCTGACGAGCCAGCTGGTTCACGACAGCCACCTTAGATGCTGTGGCATTCATCTCATGCTCGAAACTGTCGAAACGGTGTTTCATGATGGCCAGCTCTTCAACATCATCAGTAACAATGATGGTAGTCAAGAATTTCTCCTGCAAACGGGATTAATGATACATTTGTTATTTTAGAGAGCAACAGGTTTAAATAAAAATCTTCTGCACAACAAATTTTTAAAACAAAATGAAATTATAAACTTTAATGTGAAATAGAGACGAATAAACACCTTTTCATCAATCCATGTCTCCACACCATCAGACTCATTGAAAAGTTTGTAAAGCGAAAGTGCATCAATGAGTCTCTGCTTGCGCAGTTTTGAGAATTCCAATAGATCTTGATATCTTCTATCAATCGAACTGAGACGACTTTGAACATCAGGAGACTCACGATCCTAAAATGTAATAATTATTACAATAATAATAATAATGGAAATACCTATCTTAATGAGATTTTTTTTTAGGTAAATGCTTGTTTTAAATACCTGCTCTCCAAGATTGGCAGCTTGATTATGAAGACCTTTAATAACACTTTGATAGGTCTTGAGCTCTTCTGTTACTTCCTGTTTCATAAGAAAAATTGATGGAGAAATTTTTTTTTTTTTATATTTATCAATACAAAAAAATATTTGAATATAGAAATGCTGCTTTTCACTATTAATATACAGGATTATGATGCACACTTTGACTCACCTTGTGTTTTTTAAGCAATGACTGCACACTGGCTTCATCTTTGCCAACATCTTCGCTGGATACAATACGGAGTGTGTCCATAAGCCACGTGTCCACATCATCAGCATCAGCGAAAAACTAGCAAACATTTTTGAGTTATTTTAAAATATATTTGCACAAAGATATTTTGTGTAATAACAATACATAACATAAACCTCTGTCTAGTAAATTCAAACTGAACATACCTGGTAAAAATCTACAGCCTCGTTCAATCTCTTCTTTCTGTATGTGGCCAACTCTATAAGGCTTTCCCACTGTGACGAAATTTCATTGTTTCTTTGTTCAATTTGGTCAGCACCAAAATTACCAGCTTCAATGAGTTCATTGCTGGCAGCTTGCACTTCTTGCAGATGAGTATGACGATGTTTCATCTCATCCTCCATGGCCTGTGGAGAATTTTTAAGTGTTAAATGTTAAAAAAGTAACTTTATTTTAGTGAAACTATTAGAATTTTAAAGATTATTCTTTGACTTTTGACAATTTTGAAAGAACTCAAGAGGTATCTAAACAAATCTGAACCTTGTGTTTGCTAAGCAAGAGGTTGACACTTGTCAGATCATGGCCAAGGTCAGGTGATGACATAAGCTGCTCCTTTTCTCTGATCCATCCTTCCTCATCAGCCATATCCCAATAAAACTGCCACAGTTTTCTTGATTCCTCCAGACGGCGACGACGATCAGCAGCAAGTTGGTGCAGCTCATTGTAGGCACTGTCCAACATGTTCATTCTTTCCTGAATCATTTCTGGGTTGCATGGTCTGTAACCTAGTGATTTTAAAATGCAAACGTATTAAAAAACATTTTTTAAAAAAAAAAAAGCTTTTTTATCATTCAGTATGAGGGAAAAAATTAACAAAAGTAATAATGTATTTATAAGAAGTTTTTATTCGATTCATATTTACAACTGCACTCACCTCCAATTTCCGAAAAGTCATCTGTAATAAACTTCTGAGCTTGAGAGTTAACAGTGGAAACACGTTCACCAACTACATTGACATCCGCCTCAAGGAGGCTGTGTTTTTGTAGCAGATCTTCCACACCCATCAGATGTTTGCCATAGTCTTCTGACATCAGTCGAAGCTGAAGTATGAGGTAAAATGTTAACCTTGGACTTTTCAACATACTTTCTATCTTTAACAGTTTCTTATTGATGTATTTTCTTTTATTACCTTGATTTCTTCCATCCAGTCCAGTATGTATAGCATTTCCTTGAAGACCTTGTAAAGGCTCAGTGTCAGCTCCAGACGCATACGTCTGGCTTGTAGTAGTTCAAGTAGATAGTTCCAAAGACGCAAGACATTATCCTTCCTAAAATAAAAAAAAGTTTTTAAAAAAAAATCAAAATTAACTTTTTAAAAATAACTATATATTATTAGTTAATTAATCAAATATCTTGATAAGTTTTAAATTTCATTAAAAAAAAAAAGCCTTTACCTGGCATTGATGCGATCGATGTCATGATAGTTTTCTTGTTCCAGCTCATTAGCTACAGCCACAACAGCAGAAACTCTTTCTTCATAAGCATTGATGTCTGTCTCAATAGCTTCATGTTTCTTGGTGGCAGCCTCTACAGCAGCCAGGTCATTTCCAAAGTTGTCCTGGGCCACAAGGCGCTGGTTTTCACTCAGCCATTCTTCACGCATACCAGCCTTGCGTCCAAATCTGGCAGCAAGTTGTTCAAGTTTTTCTTGTCTGTGAAGAATAATAGCTATTTTAGTACAAATACAGCTCAAGCAACAATATCTAAAAACAAGTTGTTGAAACAGTTCAAAATCATGAATGCAAAGTGAAATAAGTTAGTCAATAAAAACTAAACATTTGAAAGAAAGGTTTACCTTATGAGCTCCTCTCTGAGAGAGAGTTCTCTTTCATGTTCAGCTTTGTCCAGTCTCTCCCAGGCTTTGTTGATATCTGAAAGCAGTTTTCCTTCTTTTGGCAAATATGGCCTCTGGTTGTTGGCACGCATCTTGCTCTGGATTGTGAACAGGAGGATTTCAAGATTGCCTTTCTCATCAAATCTGGAAGAAACATTATTTTGCTTTAAACTAGAGGAAGCTTTTGAAAACAGTTTTTATTTTATACAGACATGCTCCAATATTCAGAGAAAAATTCTCAGAAGCTTGGGGCTAAGGATGAAATATGATTATATAAAAAAAATGTTACGGCCATTACAGGAAACATTGTGTATATTTGTTTAACAAGAAAATACAATTTTAGAAAGAAACAACTAGATAAACCAAAAATTATGAGGAAACAGTAGACAAAACCTACTTAGGTGGTTTCTCAACAATGCGGTATGTGCTAAATGCTGCAAGCTGCTGTTGAACTCCAGTCAGTGAGTTTGCAAATTGGCGGTCATTCAGAATGACAATAGTCTGCTCAATCCACTCTAAGAGGTCAGATGTCATGTTTTCATACTGTTCAATCATATTTTCTGTGTTAACAGCATTGTCAATGACCTGAAATTTAAATGTGATCACCATATTAACAGATCATCCTGGAAACAGCATTAATTTTAAAATAATTGTCTAAAATAATCATTTAAAAAAAATTTTTAAATATTTTTTTACAAATCAACTGATAAAAATTAAACTAATATTAGTTTTGATGAAAATATTATTGCTTACTTTTCCAATACGTTTTCCTTGAACTGAATCAGCCTTCATCTTGGAAAAGTAATGGTAGTATGTGACCACATATGTGATGATGGATTTCTCATCAGGAAATTCAACATTCACATCTGAAAGATATCAGTTTATGCCATAAGTTCTTAATAACTGACAAATATCAATTACTTTCAAACCTGAGAATGTGAAGTTATTTTAATTATCAATTAAATGAACAATGGACTTTAATTGAACAGTGTATTTAATAAGAAAATTACAAAACAAAAACAACTCAATCACCTTCAGGATCAAGTAGACTGGTGAGCCCCAGTTTTTCTTCTGCCACGGTGAAAGCATTGTTGAGGTTATGCATGGCATTGGATTTCTGAAGCTTGTCATAATGAATAAGGTCGGGTCTTGAAGAAAAAAAAAATTGTAATTAATTTTTTACATTTTAAAATGCTTGTAGCTAACATATATCATCATTACAACACATCTTTTAAAATAATTTATTTGAATTAAACTCAACAAAACTGACCAAGGAAGATAATATCTATTATGAAATAGAAAGTTAAAACCAAAGCTGTTCTGTCAGCTGACTTATTTAATTTCTTAAATCTCTGACATAAGCTTAGTAAAACAAGTCTACTTCATGCTCAAATTAACAAACCATTACCACTTCAAATAGGGTTAGCATTAATCTACCTGTGCTTGTGAATGAGGGCATTAAATGCGAGTCCATCTCTCCAGCTGGTGGTGAAGTTTCGAACATTGACGTTGGGGTATCCCGCAGTCTTCATCTGACACCACAAGAGCAATGCATCCTTTGCTGATTTGGTCTCATTGTTGTCAAACTCTTCAATGGTAATGTCTTGTATCTGGTTAATAAAACAAGCACATTTAAAAAAAAGATTACTGTGTGGAAATTTTGAATTGAAATTAAATTAACGAAGTATGGCAGTCCGCATGACTTTGAGTGTGAATGAAGTATATCAGCTATTTAATTAAATAGCAATGCTTAAGACTCCAATGATACCTTCTTAAGTATCTGCTACAAATTCAACATGAATATTGTGGCCAGACAAATCTATGCCTTTAATGGAGCGCCAGGTCTCACAAGAGAGCTTTAATCTTTTTTTTTTTAAAAAAGCATACAATTTCAAACAACTTTTAATGCTAATATACACAAGAGAGGGAAATCTTTAACTTTGAAAAAGCATGTTTTAATATATTAAAATCTTTTTCAATTAACCTACTTGGAATCTTAAGATAATGGTCCAGATCAAGCCCAATGTCAGTCTAGAGCTGCCATCAACTATGTCATGAGCACCCATGTTTTCAAGGTGGACCCTTTGTTCATGGAGAAAAGTCAGAGCCTTATCCACATTCTCTAGACAATGGATCCTCATTTTGCCTTTTGTAGGACGTGGCTGAAATTAATAAAAATGTTATTATTTTCAAATTATTATTTAATGAACATTTTTTTTAAATAATACATTTTTACAGTGTGCTAAACAAAACAAAAGACACTCTGGAACAGCCATGTTAATAGTTACTGCGCTTATAAAATAATAAAGTTTTATCCTTATACCATAAAATCAAATTGCTGGCAGCAGGGCATTCATTACATCTTACCCCATCATTACCCCCCCCCCCCATATAAAAAAAACTGCAGAAGGACAATAGTGTTAGGGATAGGGTCAGGGTTAAAGATAGGGAGAATGGTTAGGGATATAATTATAGTTTGGGATAGGAATAGAGTCATAGATAGGGAACTGAATATGGAGATAGAAAGATAGAGGTATAATATGTATTATAAAAAAAAGGGGGGGGAGGTATATTGTCCAAGAACAGTATTGTTACACTGAAAGCTGACTATCTATCAATACAAAACAGACCCTCATCTGGAATACCCAGGGGCAAAAGAAAAAGAGGCAGGACAAGAAAACCCTAGATTTGCAACTACTACTAAACAGATGACCTCAACTTAACTCACCAGTCTCTCTCCAGACAAAACCTCTAGAAGCTTGATGAGCATTTTGCCATCTCGAAGATCCACATACAAGTCTGCAATTTTGTGGTTGACTCGAATCAAATGTGAGTTGACCCATTTTTGGAAGGTTTTCTTCTGAACAAGCTCACGCTCATCTATTTGAAGAAAATAAAGAAAAATGCTATGTTGAATTTAAAGTTTGAAAATATAAATACATAATAAGACAAACACAAATTTTACAAAAATTATTTTAAGCTATTGCTTAGCTTTATAAGGATTACTTTACTTGCACATACATATGTAAGTATTTGTATTTAAATGAAGAGAATAAACTTTAAGGTATTTGCATTAAACAAAAAAGACAAGGTAACTTAAATCTCAAAATCTTTTAAGGAGAAAAGAGAAGGAGGAGAAAAAGGGAAAGTGGAAAGCTTTTTTGAATTTAACTACTTCAATGTGATGCATAATTATTGATTAAATGTGTAACTTTTCATTTCAAAGAAAACAAAAAACTTTGTATAAAATGCCATCTCTGAAACCTAGCACCGCTACCTCATTGCCAATAAAAAAAAAAAAACATCTTTAAATTGTGTCATACTGTTTGTGTGTCACATTGGCAATGCTTGTTTCTTAAGAAAAAAATAAAAACATAACCCAATACTTATGCTGATCAATTTCTGATTTATCTTTTTTTTAAAATTTCAACCATTACAACTACAGTATCAAAAACTTAAAAGGAAATCAAATAAAAACTACAATTCTTGAGATGTAAATAAATCCAAATATAATAATTAACCACTCTCCCCCTCCAATTGCAACACATAAAACCATGAGTTATCTACACAATAACCAAGGCACAAGAGAGATGAACCTTGACCTTTCATTTGGCACACCCTTTAGAAAAATGTTGAGCTGGTGCCAAAAGAGCAATGATGTAAGGAATGCTGGAGGAACTTACTCCTGCTGGTGCCATGGCAAAACTATTTTATGTGCACAGCAAAACTATCTTGTGTGCACTCCTACTATTATTCTTTTCACCAGAAAATAGAACAATTGTACGCCAATTTTCATTAATAAAATACTGCTGTTATTTACTACTATTTTTTTTTTACCAATTTAAAAACCACATTAAGTAAAATATGAAGAAGTGTACAAAAGACTGTGTACACGGTGATATTCGCAATTGGAACAGACACAGCAATTAAATAACTTTTACCTACATAGATAGTCTTTGCACAAATAGTTTTTGTCTTTGTAAAAATGAAATCAGAGAACTACCATAGATTATTTTATTTAGGAGTTAGTAAACCTTGCACTGAAAAGACACATGTATTACAGTTAATAAAAGCTACCTTAACACTAAGAGTTGATTTAGTGCACTTATCAAAAATCAACTATAAATTCACATGCCCCACTACTCCCTATGCCATGTGTCCTAAAGTGCCCCACTTTACAGTACTGATATGACTCATTTGAAAATGGATTTATTAAAAAAAAAGGTGAAGTTTTTATTGAGGCCTGTTCACAAAAAAGGTAACTGTAGATATGTTACCAAATAAATGATAGTCCTTGTTAACAACTAATGAAAGTCATCCATATTTTTATAAAAAGCAATTATTTAAATATGTGATTGTGTGCTGAACACACCACATAATATATTATACTATTATAATATAGACTAAGAGACCCTTCATAAATAAAATAATACACAAGACGTGTATAATATTAAAATAAAACTAAAATGTTGATAGGTGTGTGATTTACATTTTTTTTTTAAATTAAGTTTGGCTGTTTTCTTCTATCATTTTAAGCAGTACTAGCTGATGTAATATTAATGGTCCTTATGGATTAGCTGTATCAGCAAACCAACATTGCCATATCATAACTCAACCAAAGCCTTAATCTAATCTGTGTTAGCGTCATACTTTTATTCTTCACAAAATGCCAGACACCCCCCCCTCTTAAATGTCACAAGTTTCCAACCATGGCTGCTCCCCCTCAACCCTCAGTGGTTTCTTCAAGATAGAAGAAGATAGAATACAATAACCAGTTACTATATACAGCAATGGTTGACTAATTTGAAGTGACTTTAATAAACAGATGGTTGACTAGATTTCTTAAATTTATTTTCGATTTGCTTATTGTTTGTTTGTCTTGTCACCCACTGGCAAAAGCAAGTGTTATTTCCTTAAAGAAAACTATTTTAAAATGATCCGAATGTCTTCCTCTCTCCCCCATACTAACATTACAATTTTTTAAAAATATTTTGAACACTGTTTTTTGTCAACACGTTTTTCTGTGTCAGCAATAAAGAAGCAGAGTTTGCAGTAAAAAATAGGCCGTTATGAGATCCGAATGGCGGGCATATTTATTTGATACAAGACGCGAATCACGCAAGCCTAACTCCACTGGGTTATTTATACAGACTACAGACACGTGACCTACATTAAATAATGAATGAATGGAGCCTCGATGTTACGTTGGTAACGATGTAATATGGTTAGGCGAAAGTTGGTTCCAAAACTATTGTTTAAAGTTTACATGTTCCCCGTCAACAGTTAATACCGATATGACAACAAATTTATAATTTTAGTGAAAACGAAAACTCCAAAGCCATCTTATTCTAACAATAAAAACTAAAAACTATCATTCAGCGCCTATGTTGATAAAATGTAAATGACAACCCCAATGTTAAAAAAAAAAGACAACACGCGGCTGGCTGTATCAGCAAGAAATGTCAAGCTACCCTTGTAGATAACCCTTCAGTGATTCGTCAAGCAGGCCTATTTAGGTTGACAGATTGCACTACACACTAGCCGCTGAGCTCGATAGCTGAACACACCCTTCGCCAGTAGTACACGTACAGCAAAACAACTTGCAGACATGGGGGGGGGGGGGGGGGGGCTTTATGGCTTTTATTTCGGGGGGGGGGGCTTGGGGTACGCGTCATTAGAGTCGCCCTTTCCTCCGGCTTACAGTTCTAGTGACATAAACATGTTACGTGCAGACCTACACTTTTATAACTAGGTGGAAGAGTTTACATAGGCGTCTGTCATAGATCTACATAATGTGGTTAAATGAGTAGAGACGTACCGGAAAGCTGTTTGATCTTAGATTTGATAAATCTTTCTTGGTAGAGAGGAGAATTGGAGATGTCTTCCATGGTGTCCAGACAGCGGAGTCATGTATTCTCTAGTTATTCAACAACAAAATGGAACCTCCTTATGGTCCAACGATTAGATCAGACACGTACGCAGCGATATCAGGTGTGTAGCAAGCAGATAGCCAACACTTGGATACAGCGTTCATTTAACACGAGCAAACTAAGGGTTTTATCTAAAATGTAAACTATCGAACACACCAATATACTCGAGTATGAAGTTGAATTATATCTCGTGATGGAAATAAACAACATGAGCATAAAACCAACGGTACATAAAATATGAATCTAAGCTTGAACGTTCCTAACACTGTATTCTATGAATGAAAGAAGCAATACAGTAGCACGGCTTTATGAAAAGCTTTTAGAAATCATGCTCTGTGACTGTTGCGCCGGCTTCGTCAAACTGTAACAAGCACTCTAAACACACGATTACAGCACATGGCAAGTTCCTACGACCGAAATATCACATATATCCGCAATAGAGGAATGACTGTACACACGGTATCATCCTAATGTTAACAACACTGTAGTAAACAGCGAAAGAACACAGACTTGTGTGGTTTTCGTACATATACCAAGTTGTCTGAATGGTTGCTTTGCCTTTGTCGGTTTGTTTCCTGTTACTTGAGTGTTGAAGATGTTGAAAAATTGTGCAAAGATAAAGAGACAGCAGTAAAGTTAGTGGGTCCCTGACAAGTAAGGTCAAAGAATGAACGAGTGCCCTTGAAATGATAAATGACTAAACTAGTGCTGCAATAGTATGCACACGAAAATTGTAAAGAAAATAGAATGCTCTCGCTCTTCAACACAATAATTACAAGTTATCTTTAAGTCTTTGATTAAAATAAAACTCGACGAACATCTCTGATACTGAAACATTAAACTGATATCTCCAGTTAGCAGAGGCGTAGCGACCCTTCCCCGGCGACTAACTTTCAATTTTGCGCCCCCCCCCTCTCCCGGACACAACAAACTTTCGATTTGGCGCCCCCGACATTATATTTTTTATATCTATAACGCAAAACCGCAGCTGAAATGAGTTTTTAATTTTTTTCCCAACCCATTTTGGCGCCCCCTAGGGTCGGCGCGCGGGGATATATGTACCCCCCCCCCCCCCGCTACGCCTCTGCCAGTTAGCCTTCATCATTCAATTTTCAATGCTTCATAAATCAGAAGTAATTGCCAAGTTATTAACGATAATCGGAGTTATGTGAGCCGTAATTATTAACATTGGCGGCGATCTCTAAAACGTTTTATACAATATTTCATGATTAAAAAAAAAGATCGCTATTTGTATATATTTACAATTATAAAGAACGGAATATGTGGAAGTTAATTCAGTAAAAAATTTAGTAATCATAAATCTAGTAACCAGCTGTAGTAAACATGAATAAAGCAGTAATGTTGTCTACAGAATATTTTTTTCTTTACCCAAGACACTTAACAAAAGACGAACCTCAAAACTGGAAGTATTATTTTTTAAATTATCATTATTAGATATTGTTGGCAAACTATGCTAGGCGTACTGATGCCATACACTTCATATTTAAGTGCATCATAAGAGTTTACACCATTTATGAATTTGGCTTAATGTCTGGCGTAGTGGTAGCAGATGTTAAAAAAACACCAACAGAGATCCCCCCTCCCCGAGCATTGTTCTAGATAAATAGTATTATCATCATGCATCTCTCAAACAATTCTGATGAATGATTAATCTAGATTCCAGATCTAGATGTTTTGAACGTGCTGACACTAAGACTACAAAATATTACTTGCGGTTTGCGACGCGCTTAAAAGAAACGAACTAGGATGAGCCGGGTACTAAAGTGTGAATGACAGGATGTACAGTTTTAGAGTTGACTATAAAGATTACCGGTGGCCCCATGTGTCTATGGCAGGGGTCGGCAACCTTTTGAGGCGGAAGAGCCAAAAGTTACAATGTTCAAAATTTCCCTGGTTTTAAAGAGCCACTAACATTTTTTTTTATTTCGA